ATTTTTTTTTATTTTATTTTATTTATTTTTTTTTTTATTTCGCAGCATGTCCTCTTTAATGCACAAAAGTTTCCTAACATCAGTGAAAAACTAAATGCAAAAATACAATGTCCACTACAATGGACATGAATAAGTCGGGTCTCAGAAGGATATATATAATATATATGAAGTAGTCGTCGTGTTTGTGTCCCCTTTGCCAATACGTTGACTAGATAATCCATGGGAGGGAGGACACTGAGCTACTTCGGGTTTTACAAATTACTTTTAAACTGAAAGGTTCATATGCTGGGCTGAATAGTTAAGTTTTTTTGCTTAGGCTGGTTTGCTTACTTGATAGAAAGACTGATCCAACTGTTTCATATTAACATTAGTGACATATTGATGATTATAGGAGACTGACCAGTCAGCACACAGCGAGAACTCAGTGCTGAAATGAAATCCAGCGGGTCATTTTATTTGAAATGGTAGTTTACAAATCCTGTCCTATTTTAAAGTGTCCTCCCTGATATGGATAATCTGATCGCCCTAGATTTGCAACTCTTCCAGCCATCGGTGTGGAATATTGTTCCGGATTTCACTTAACATGTTATGGCTTATGGCATGTAAATGGTCTGGTCTTTTACTCATGTAAATTACATCGGTAGGGGGAGTTGCAAATTATTTAAAATGAATGACAATGGCGTTTTCCTCTTTTTCATGAGCTTTGAACTTTGTGTTTACGGCCACTTATTATTGCTAAAGCCAATTTACTCTAATGCTACCTTCAAGTCCTACTCGTAAATTCCTACTAGGGACTTGGAAAATCGTAATTACGACATGGCGCGTGTTATAGCGAGTGTGACGTCAGCGGACAAAGACCGATTGAGTGGACCTGCTGGCTGGACCAAAAACACAAGGATGGACCACTTGGACGTTTGTTACATGCAGAAAGCAATACCCTGTGTAAATAGTTTTTAATGGGATGGATGTGTAATCAATGTAAAGTAATTTGATTTAAAAAATTAAGTTGTGATGTTAATATAACGTGCTTCAAATTAAATATTTAAAATGAACTTATGCTGTTGTCATGAACTTGATGAAGTGTTACATGAATGTTTAAGTGAAACAAATAAGCTATGTTAACATTCATTGTTCTTATTAACCCCTTAAAAAGAACTCAGTAAATGTTTAAGTGAAAGAAATAGAAGCTTACTCAGTAACACCACATTCATTACTAATGAGTTACAGTGTTTTACTTTATAATACTGTTCTTGTTCTTTAGTAACTACTATGGAAGAAGTCAGTAATGCCACATTCATTACTAATGAGCTACAATTAGTTTTATTTAGGTCATTAGTAAGACTTCATTCCTTATTTAAAATGCATACATTAATTCTTTAATGTTTAGAAAAGATCAACAATATGTGGTCGAGCACATCATGTGGCAAAACACGAGTCTCTGATTGACCATCCCTTCAGTTGGACTTCAAAGCACAGTTTGAAGAACACTGGCACACGGACTGAAGTGAGGTAAATAATTAAAATGTAGGTACTGTATACATATTTTAGGCAGTAACATTTTGTAGAATAAGTAGTATGTCATACAAACAAGTAGGAAGAAACAAGCCTGTTATTCCAAAAGGAAAAAAAAATGGCAAAAACCATTGAGAACAGTAGCCTGTAAGTTCCTGTTAGTCCAAAAAAAAGCACTGTTCATTTGATGAGTAATGAACTAGTAGTTATTAGAAATAATCCATAGTTAGTACATAATTCCCAATAGTTCCTAATGAAGTAATAGCGAACTACTATAATAATTAGTTCTCTATTACCTATTGAGTAATTAAGCATAACTCCTTAGTAGTTAATAGTACCAATTTAGGTGTTAATGAAGCACTACTCCTTTGTTGCTGCTTACTTCCTGCATATTTACCTGTTAACTACTGAACAGTATTATAAAGTGTTACCGCTTTCACTTAATCTTTGTTCTTACGCCATTAGACAAAATGCACACGAATTCAAGCTGATCTAACTGTTAACCCAGTCAGTGTTTACTCAAATATGCCACTTTCTTTTAAATTTAGCTTTTAATGCTTAGCATATTTAATTGGTTGCGGTCTGAGAATAAACACCATCTGAAAAACTGGTACCAAAAAGCTTGTTTTTATTGAGTTAATCACAGAAAATTAAATGAATCAGTGATCGCAATTGACAGACTGAATGTCATTTAAAAAAGGCTCTTACTTTTGGCCTGATAAGCAAGATAAATGGAAAAAAAAAATCAAGATAATCTGTGTAATTCATATAAGTTTAAAGGTGAGGTTTTAAATAGATTCCAGAAATCATAGGAAGTTTAAAAGCAAAAAAAATAAATCAGTCCTAAAGTAACTGGTTTAATAAAATAAAGCTAGAGAACCTTTTTAGGAATTTGTCCAGTGCAGGAACATTAACCTGGAAACCTTCACTAGCTGGCCAGTATAAAAGAGTGCCGTCTTTGTACCCAGGCAGATGCTCCCTGGCACACTGCATCTTCCCTTAGCCACTCAGAAAAAATGCAGGTGTGGCCTGAGGCCCTCCACAGGTCCTTTCCGGCATGGCGATGAATGTCGGACATAGCGGATTCACTCTGAGGCAGGCCGGATGTGCCAGTATGCCCGTCTGCATTGATACAGTGAAAGCGGCTGCTGAGTGCCCACCGTGAGGGCCTTAAAGAGGCAGCCCATCCTTTTAAAGCTACTTCCGCTCCACGCCTTCCAGTGGATTAACAGACCCAAATGGAAAGCTGCCAATTACTGGCCTCTTCTGCTGATGACATCGTGATGGCCTGACCAATCCGCTTGTAGCAGGAATCTGGCAGCTCAGCTCGCCAGCTGCACACAGTGTAATAGACATTGCATTGAAACTTTGGCACAACTGCTTATTTAGCTACTTACAAATAGGTAATGGCTTTTCTTCACAGCACTAAATCTGTCGGTGATTTATATTTCCAGCCTGGTTTTAGTATAAAAAACACATTAAAATTCTCCAAGTCAGCCAGTCACTTCAAAGGGGGAGTGTTTCCATTTTTCTAATATGAAATTGCAATTTCAGATGTATCAATTGTAAGCTTCGAATATAGAAAAACATTTAAACTGGTCACAAGTAAAGTATAAACAGAGATTCAAGTTCGCTTCCATAATGCTTTTACCTGAATATTACACACTGTCTGCAGGATATTTCTGTGACCTTCAGATGGGCTTCAAGAAAGGTTTAGGATACATACCGTACTTCATTTTTTTCATACCCTTAAGTTTTACTGTAATGAATATGACTAAATTATACTCCAATCATTATTATGTTTTAAAAGGAACTTAAATGCCTGAATGAATGTTTAAGACTTCATAAAATTCTCGGCAAATGAAGCATACAGAGATTGTTTACAACACAAAACAAGAAAAGTGTAATTAAAAAGAAACAGCAGTATTGCTCAGGGATGGCCTTGTGTTACCAGTAGGAGAGCAAGATAGAAAACAAAATATTCTATTTACCCACAAGAAAACAGAGAATCATGGGAGAGACATGTACAGTGACATAACTGCCATCTCCACAGCAATTAGTTTCTACAGAAGGTAAAATCGAGGTTCCAATTCACAAGAGTGGTTCTCCATTAAACATAAATTACACCTGTAGCTAATATATTTCGGTTCTGCATTCTGTATAGAACATCAAGAATATATAAAAACAGCATTTTATAAAGTTCTCCAAAATGTGTATTAACAGAAAATATAATGTTATATCTGATCGGTCTCTATGCTGAACTTACTGTAGTCATAGGAAGCTGACTTATTGTGTTTTGATGAGTTGTTTCCCGAATCATGGACACAGCACCCACCCCACCCTATTAAAAATTCACATTTCTGACTGGTACGAGACCTCAGGGCTCAAACGAGTTTGTTAAAGGAAGCACAAAGTAGAAGGGGGTCACCTCACTTTCGGGGAGATCAGACAGCCCTGTTGAGGACGGTGTGCTGACAGTAAGCGTCGGAAAGCAGCCTTTTTTATTGCTATGATTTCGGTGAAGAAGTAACATGGACCTTGTGCTCTACGTCCAAAAGAATTAAAAGCATGGCACCTGGAAAAAACACAAGTAGTCCTGCCTGTGTCTGAGAATCTGGATCTGAATACTTTTACACTTATTCTAGATATCTGCATACATTTAATTCTCTTTCTTATAAATTCTGTAGTAAAATTGTAGAAAAGAATCACCTTTACATATTGACCAAACCATGTGGCCAGTTGGAAAGACAGAACTAACAAGGGTTTCAGAAGAGCTTCTGGAAGTTGCAACATCATCTATAAGGTGGGCAGCTTCCACCCAGTTTGTGTGTGAACTTGGTACAGAAATACACGCGATCAGTGTCCCGCTGCCCCAAGACCATCAAATCTCATTTTAGCTACATTTGTTTTCTCTCTTCCCAAAAGCCAACAATGCAACGAGAAGCTTTCTAAAGGGCTTCCACTGGCTCAGCTGAGAGTGTTAAATCACATCGCAGGACATCACAGGGCTACAGAGTTAAAACCTAATTTGTCCAACTGAACTGAGCAAAATATTTAAAACACCAGTGCCAGTGTCCAACACACACACTGAACCAGTGAGCAGAGACCACCTGGCCCGCGATGCATTTCCACATCTGTCTGCTACACCTGACCTGTCCCACCTCCATCACATTCCAAAGCAAACTAAGTCATTTTGGTAATTCCTCGATTCCTGATCTTTGGAACATCTCCTGACCCACTGGATCTGAGCAGTCCCCCCTCCCCAGTAGAGGGCGCTCACATTTCAAGACGACACAAAACCTGCTCCCCCATGCTGAACAGTAACCCCAGCTCGCCCACTGCAGAGGGTCACGCCGGTACACACACACGCACACGTACACGCATCCACCCGCTTCCCTGCCCTCTAGCTGAAGAGCTTGACGAAGCAGGTCTGACAGTAGGGCTTGTCGTTCTGCTCCTTGAAGGTGCCTTTGTTGAGCTGCTTGAGGCAGAAGGCACAGACGAAGTGCTCGGGGTGGAACTTCCGACCCATGGCGGTGATGCAGCGGCCCGTGATTGGCTTCTGGCAGCCGGAGCACAGCGAGCCGCGCCGCTCGTGGTAGTGCGACTCACAGTACGGCTGGCCCTCGTGCTCGAAGAAGCTGCCATTCACAAAAGGCGTGAAGCACTCCTGCAAGACAGACATGTGGGAGACGGGTATGGTGAACAAGCATGTACTGATGCTACCGTGAACAGCCCAGGAACCAAAATCTTATCCGGTAAACAGTACCTCTTGAGGGTTCCATGTGCGCATGCTTGCACAAACTCCCTCACTAACCTAGCACACACACTTGCCTCCCTCACTAACCCTGCTCACACACTCACACACACACACACACACACACACACACACACACGTGTGCCTCCCTCACCCTGCACACAAAGCACTCCGGGTGCCAGAGTGCATTCAGGGCAGAGATGTAGTTCTCCAGGATGGCTCGAGCACAGCCCCCACACTTGGGGGCAAACATGTCAAAGTAATCCTTCCTGCAGTACGCCTTGCCGTCCTTCTCATGGAAGCCTGGGGGCGTGACCGACAGACCAGAACACAGATTATACATTATGCTGTGGATGCACATGTCAACAAGTGGCTGATCAGAGTTACAGACATGCACTGTCACAGTTGCTGTTTTTATGAGCCAGTTGGAAGGAGGGATGGATGGAGCAGGCATATTGATTGACAACAAGATGACTAACCAATTAAAATAATGCATTTAAACAGCAGAAAGGCTAAAGCTGTCTAATGCCGTGTGACATACTGCGGGGGAAAACCTGGCCCAAGGCTTTTCCCCATTTAGAATGTGACCTAATTTAGTTAATTGGGGGGACTGTGTGGGTGAGGTAGAGAATGACAGACTTACCCTCCGGGCCAAAGAAGGCTCCACACTGGGCACAGAAGAAGTGCTCAGGGTGCCAGGTCTTCTCCAGAGCCGTTACCACTTTCTGTAGGCAGGTGTACCGATGCGCAAAGGTCATCGCATGGCGCTACAACAGCACAGCCTAGCCACCGACATGCAAGCCGCACAGAACGAGCTACCAGCAGAGGGCAGCGTGGCCACGCGGGAGCCGCATGGGAGGAGGCTTGGAATGCAGAGGTTAGCTCATGTTTTCCACACTTGACAGAATTCCAGAGCTGTTACACTACGGCCTTGATGGGGACACAGTCAAGGGAGCGGGTGAGCAGTGGCGAAGTCAGACTCGGCACAATAACCCTCCAGGACGGACCGGCCTTGAATTATCAAGCTGCTACAGCCGGGACGCCATTAAGTCCGCGGCACCCAGACCTGTGTGTTGTCCTGCAAGTGTGTGCGAGAGTGCAGCAGGAAGCGCTGTGTTGTACACGTCTGTGTGTGTGGTCAAATGTCCCCACAATATGATAAAAACCTGTTCTGTTTACACTGTGGGGACATTTTTTCCAATTCCCACAAGGGGAAATTCAATTTTATTAAAAGAAGGAAAAAAAAAAAAAAAAACTAAAAATGCCAAAAGTCTTCTATATTGTTTGGTTACTTATGGTCAAGGTTAGGGCTGGGTAGGGGTTAAAGTTGTCATTGATGGGATTAGGGTTTTGCCCATAGAAATGAATGAACAGTGCTCACAAAAGATATGAGTACAGGTCTGTGTGTATGTGCGTGTGCATGCATATGTCATCACTGCCCATGAATGCATGAATCACAATCGCAATGGCTGTCTGGGGACCTAAACAGCACTGGGGGCTCTGCAATCTGGATATATTTACTCAATGACACATGCTGATAAAACTGCACCGGGCTGGAGTGGGGATCTTGTCTGCAGGAACCCCTAGCTGCACACCATCACAGCCAGCCAGTCGCAGGGCTGCGCTCTCGGGGAAGGAACACGGGCAGATTAATCCTGACTGATACACAGTGCTACTTAATGCACGGGGCAGACTTACATCCAGGATGGGGCCGTTGCAGTAGTAGCAGCGGGGCGAGAACAGGGAGTGGTAGTCCCTCTCGCAGTATGGCTGCCCCTCACGCTCAAAGAAATTGCGAGAGCCAATCTCTTCCTGGCAGTGCGTGCACACAAAGTGCTCTGGGTGCCATGTCCTGCCCATCGCCGTGACAACCTGCGAGGGTGGGGAGGAGGTCAGGCAGGACAAAGGAGGGAGAGGAAAAGAGGGAAAAGGACAACAGCTCTGGGGTGAGAAGGCTGTGGGGTGTCAGAGTGTCTCATGCATACAGCTGAATGGAGGGACTATAAGTACCATGTGTCTCTGGTGGAGGCAGAGGATGCGCTGTGTGTCTGTCTGTGTGTCTGTCTGCGTGTCTGTCTGTGTGTCTGTCTGCGTGTCTGTCTGTGTGTCTGTCTGCGTGTCTGTCTGTGTGTCTGTCTGCGTGTCTGTCTGC